TGGGAAGGGGACCAAGAGATGGAGGGAGGGGAAGGGAAAAGAGGCCAGTAAAAAAATTAAGATGTGTTATGTACATGTAGCAACTGTCAAGCATAAATGTAAATCATTACGCATTGTAAATACAACTAACAAATAGTGGGGGGGGGGGAGAAGAAATCGATAGGGAAGGGCTGGGGTATAGTTCAGTGATTAAGCAAGCACTTGCCTCACATATGTGAGGCCCTGGGTTTGATCTCCAGTACCTCAAAAAAAAAGAACCCACAAAAGTCAACAGGGGAGCTAGGCATTGTGGTTCAACACCTGTAATCCTAGCACTCGGGAGGTTGAGGTAGGAAGAGCACCACAAGTTTGAGGCCAGCCTGGGCTACAGTGAGTTCAAGGCCAGCCTGAACTATATAGGGAGACCCTGTCTAAAAAAAACAAAACAAAAACAAAAGGACATCAATGGGGGAAAATAATTTCTTGAAATACAGGTAATCTAAATGTCTGAAAATACAAAATGTGTGGATAAATTATGGTCTATGAAACTAATGGGATATTACATAATAATTAGAAACATGAACACTACATAGTAACATGACTAATGTAATGCTAAGTCAATGAAAGAAGACATGTCACATGGGAACTGAGATTAACTATGAAATACTGCTATGAAAAATGAGAGCTAATAGAAAGATCAAGATACTTCTCAGTTTCAAAGCTCTCAAGGACCCCTTTTACTTTCTTTCCTGATTATCCTGGAGGTATCAATCTTCAAAATAAACTATCACTTGAAACATGTGACTGCCCTGTAGAGAATACAGCAGATATACAGGAATGAAAGAGATCAACAAGAAAAAGGGGCCAATGAGGAGGAACTCCAACTCAAATCACATGTCCACAATCATACAATGCTGACATTTTGTTCTATCTTCAAATAATTAGAAAACTAGTGTGAATTTCAAGATCATATGGTCAAGGTGAAATAGGAGTCCAAAGAACCAAGGAAATATTTAAGAACTGGGCACTAAAGGAAGCAATGGTCATGCGCCCAAGCCAACCCAAAGTTCCTGTTTTAGAAATTTAAAGTCTCAGGTTGGCAACAGGTATTCTTTAAATTCATAACCATTGATTTCGCCTAAAGAATTTTATGCATTTTTTCTTAAGTTCTGATTAATTCATTGAATGAATCTAAGTTACAGTGGGCTTTTTTTTTTTTTTTTAAATCTTCTGGGCCAGGGATTTAGCTCAGGGATTCTGCCGCCTGCCTTGCAAGCATAAAGTCCCGAGTTTGATCCCTGGTACCAAAAAACAAAAAACAAAACTTCCTTGTTGAGATAGCTAAGTATTTTACAAATCACTGGCCTATGATGAGAAAGACATTAGTGAGTAACACACAAAGCACTAGTGAGTAAGAACACTGATTACATGAATTTGGTCCTGTGCATCATCTTGGTTCTGAAGTGGTAGCTTATGTGCTCTGGCTCCTCAAACTTAACTACTGAATCACACTTGCAGCTGAGAATTTATTCTGGAAAGACAAAGGGAGAAGCGCTTGTACTTTTAAGTTGGGAATGAGCCCTAATGTTCATGCTTACAATTACAATGAGACATGCTGAAATCCCATCTACTTTCTTGCCAAGGGAGCTACTTTATTTATTTATTTATTTATTTATTTATTTATTTTTTGTTGTTGTTGTTTTTTGGTACCGGGGATTGAACTCGGGTCCTTGCGCTTGCGCAGCAGGCAGCAAAACCACTGAGCTAAATCCCAGGTCCTCAAGTGATCTACTTTAAAAATCATTTCCTCCCTTTTTTGGCTGTCCTCAAGGATCATTTTTATCAATAACTTGGTAAAAATCTAAAAAGGCAAGCTTATTAAATCTCTAACTTCTTACTGTCACTGAACTACTTACTGACTGCCTATCATGTGACAGAACCACGTTGGACCTTGAGATAAAAAGGTGAAGGTACAAGCTTTGTTCTCAAGTTTACATGCAATTACAATTCCTAAAAAAGTATATAAGTACCAATAGAATAATATAATCAAGATTTTAAAATATTAGTAATGATGGGATAAAACAACATTCAAGACATCTAGGTGCTCAAAATCTATTAATATAACTTAAAAATCCAAAAAAACTTTTTTGATGGGAGTTTATATAAAAAAAGATTTATAGGTTTAGCTGAGTATGACTCCATAAAAACAGTGAAGGTCACCCATATTAAATGGCTCTTAATATATGTAATTTTATCAATTATACCTTAATAAAGCTGAAGGGGAAAAAAAGCTAATGTAAACTAAGAGAAATTTTGTGTCCAGATTAAAGAGGATAGCAATCCACAGTCTCCATGTGCAAAGTTATTTCTGCTGTTTTATGAGGCTGATTTAAGAGGAACATCACAAAACTACAGGTATCGTATGTGTACATGACCATGCTTGCTAGTGTAGCAACAACAGGGAAGAACCTGTAAACCATGCTATGCAAAAAGATTGAATGAACTGAAGACACTCGGCCAAAATGACCTGGATGTGGACAGTAAATGGGACAGTATACAATAGCTGTGATGAATGTCTCTGAACTGATAAGGAAAGAGCAAATATACTCCATGGAAATGAAAACAGCAAATTTTGGACTAATGAGAAGAATTTCAAATGTCTTGGGCTTTCCATCAATGAATGACCTTGAAGAATGGTGAACACTATGGTGAGAAATCAAGCAGAGATGGATGATCATTAAAGAAAATCCTAAAAGCAATTCTTACACTGGAGAGAAATTTGAAACAGATCTCCAAAGTTCTTCCTATCTTGGAAAAGGTTGTGGCTACCCATTAGTAACAGGCAAGAATATATTAAGACAAACCCACATCAGTTACTTTAAGAGGAGTGGGTAAGCTCAGGGAGCAAAGAGGGGCCAGGAACTGCCACCAAACTTCATATAAAAAAACCTAGAAGGCTTCATGACTTTCAGATAATTGTGAAAAACAATTCTGGAGCGAGGTCTACGATGGCAAGCCTACTATCACAGTAGGCCTGACCACTGCAATAGAGCCCTCCTATCCCCACAGATGGCACTGACCAAAGCACCAGTTCCAGGCTCTCTTCTCCATAGTCTCCTTTCTTCCAATGTTCTACTTACTCCTTGCTTTTAGTGGACAAATAATGCCAAAACCTCAAGACAGCAAAGTTTGTTGTTTTAGAGAAAGTTCAAAGCAGCAAAGATTTGATTCCTATGTAACAGGGTGGTGAGATTTTGGGGGGCTCCTTTTTTTGACAGTACTGGGTGCCTGAAGAGCGTAGGCCAGTGCTGTACCACTGAGCTACATCCCCAGTCCTGTTTTGCTTTTTTGAGCTGTGGTGGTCTCAAACTCCTGGACCTAAGCCTCGAAAGCTGCAAGGACTAGAGGTGTGTTCCACCATGCATGCTTATTTGGCTCGTTATTAGAAAAGAAGATTGGACTGCTCTGCTGGATCTCCCTCGAAGGACTTACAGAGTAAATTCTGTAAATTGGCCTGATCACTTCCCCCAGTTGGGCTGGATTAAGCATGTTTTCACCTGTGTCTTAGATTTATGAGGGATGCATAAACATACTTCTTGTAAGGGGATTATGACAGCCTTCACTGTGAAACTTAGGAAACTCAGAACAACGTTATGAAACAGGAAGAACAGAAGAGGAACAAAAATTAAAACTTAATTCTGAAACATCAAGGAAGACAAACCTTACATATCTGTGAGCTCAGTTGCTAGTCTCATATTTTATGCCAGGAAAATTACATGTTTAAGGATACGATTAGTCAAGAATTGTATCAAGGGGCTACTTTCTGTGAACAAAAACTCACATTAAGTTCAATGAAAGACAAATACCCATCATTTCTCCCTAAATTATAACAATGGCTGATTACTGCCATGGTCAGGTTGTTAAGATTTCAATAACACCCAATGGCTCTTATATAATTCTATAGCCAGTGGGTGTTATTCAAGTAAAATTCCTTCAATAGTACCTTCGATCCATGCTTTAGTCATTCATATAAAAGATTAACACCTATAGAAGCATAAAAGCAGAGGACCATCTATGAATGTCAAGTAATGAAACTAGCTATGAAGGATTTCCTCTTCTGAGAAGTGACCTAAAGTGCAGTCTATTTAGGGTTGGTACATTTGTTTAGTCAAAATATTTTTCTGGAAGCTAGTAAGATATTTTAGAAATTAGAGCTTTTTGGTAAACAGCATATATTTTAAAAATTATATTTAATTTAAAAAAATATCCTTTGATCCCCGATACCAAAAAAATATATATATCCAAAGGTACCAGGCAGAGTGGCACACACCTCAAATCCGAGTTACTTGGGAGGCTAAGGCACAAGGATCACAAGTTCAAGACTAGCCTGGGCAATTTAGCAAGATCCTCAAAAGGGCTAGGAACATAGCGTGGTAGCAGAGCAAGCAAGTGCAAGACCCTGTGTGCAATCCCTAGTACCTTAAAAAAAAAATTCTCAAAGGTCATGTTATTGCAAACATATGGATAGCTCTCACAAACTAATGAGAACAATACATAAAAGACAGTGTTGTGGTATTTTAGAGTGTGTTTCAGTACATTAGAATACAGCTTGAAGATTATTGGTCTTTTTTCCTTTCTTCTGGTATACATAAAGAAATGAAAACAGTAAGTGGGTGTGGTGGCACATGCCTGTAGTCCCAGTACTTTTTTTTTTTTTTTGAGACAGGGTCTCATTTATTTCAGGCTAAACTTGAACTCATTCTGTGGCCCAGGTTGGCCTCAAACTTGGGATGATTCTCCTGTCTCAGCCTCTGCGAGGACTTAGGGAGGCTGATGCAGGACTGCAAGTTTGAACCCAGTTTGGGCAACCTAGTGACTTAGTGAGTCCCTGTCTCATATTAAAAAGATAAATTTACAGGTTTAGTAAAAAGGGTAAACCAAATTAAAAATGTGCCTATTTTAGGATTTCCAAGTAAAGTATATACTAGTTAGAGGGGTGAAAAATAAAAATCTTGACTTACCTGCACTGCCAAGTTGTTTATAATATTTGTATTCTACATGAAGCTGCGGAGCTCGTGATTTTATTGGTTCCTGAAACCCAAAGAGAATCAGACTTAGGCAAATGGGACTTTCCAATTCCTAGATTCTCAGAGCAAATAAGAACTAAGATCACTCAATATTTTAGAGATATCTATATATGATAGTCTGTTCTTACCACAATTTGTCTTTGAAAATACAGCTAAAAATAAGCTGGATTACATTCAACCTCTCCTATGAACACTCAAACACAAATACACTCTCCATGAGCCATCACTCAAGGACAGTTCCCTGTGTAAAACACCCTCTTGAAAAGTGTTCTCCCAGGAAACCAAATGTCAAATCTTTAAAAAAACCAAAAAAATTAACAGCATAGATTTCCTGTTTAATTTTGAACTGGGTGGAGGTGTTAAAACAATTTTACTATTTTCAGAAAAATAATACACGTTCAAAAAATTTACATACACAAAAATCAGATGTAAAAATAAGCTGAGATCCTACCACAGTAAGACAGCCACTGTTAACATTTTGGTAAGTATTTTTCTAAATATTTACTTATTCATGTATTTATATATACTACAGACTTAAAAACATAATTTTATATACAGGAGATCATACTATATCTAGTGTTCATTAATGTATTTTTGAATTTTAAAATGTGATGATATCTTTCCACAGAAATAAGTAAAGGTGTACAGTATTTCTTTTTTTTTTTTTTTTTTGGCACCAGAGATTGAACTCAGGACCTTGCACTAGGCAAGGTAGGCGCAGCGCTGCTGAGCTAAATCCCCAGCCCTAGTATTTTTGATAATTAAAGTATTCGTGTGTGTGTGTGTGTGTGTGTGTGTGTGTGTGCTCCTTTTGGCTTTTACTATTATAAACAATGCTGTTAGGAACATCCTTATACATATTTCTTTTTACACATATGAGAATTAAAAACCATAAGTATAATTTAACATGTAACTTCAATTAATGTGGTGTTCAAGTTTTCAAAGGTGACAGTTCCCAAAAAAAACCAGCCAAACAGGGCCAGGGATTTAGCTCAGTGGTTCCAGCACCTGCCTCATAAGTGCAAGGTCCTGAGTTCAATCCCCGGTACCAAAAAAAAACCACACAAAAAAACCCCTACTAAAAACAGCCAAACAATCACACTTTGCTCTAATTCAAACTTCAAGAATTGGCTATTAGCCAGGTGTGACAGTGCACGCCTGTAATCCCAGCACTCAGGAGGCTGAGACAGGAAGATCGTCGGGAGTTTGAGTCCAGCCTGGGCTACACAGTGAGTTCAAGGCCAGCCTGGACTACATAGTGAGGCCTTGTCTCAAAAAAACAAAACAAAACTGGCTGGCTAATTATTCTGAATTGACAATGTACCAGTCAAATAGATAACAGGGCAATAAAATATTAGTCTGAAAGACAAGGTTTCCTGTCCCTTTTGTAAATACATGATAGGCAAAAATCATCACAAACTTATTCTGATCTCTAGGAAAGTCAACATCTATATACCTACAAGTATGGCTATTATCAAAAATAGGTTCCGCTGCCTGCCTCACAAGCACAAGGTTCCAAGTTCAATCCCTGGTACCAAAAATTTAAAAAAAGAAAGAAAATAAGTGGTGACAAATGTGGGGAAATTGGAACCCTTCTGTATTGCTAGGAAGAATGTAAACTGTTGCAGCTGCTAGAGAAAATGGTATGTCAATTCTTTAAAAAATTAAACACAGAAGTACTATGATTCAGCAATTCCACTTCTGGGTATATATAAACCAAAGAATTGAAAGCAGAGACTCAATAGATGATGCCTAGATAAGATGTAGCATATACCTATAATAGAATATTATCCATATTCAAAAGGAAAGAAATTCTGACATGCTACAACAGGATGAACCTTGAAGACATTATGCTGAGTGGAATAAGCCAGTCACAAAGGACAAATAGCGTATGATTCCACTTCTATGAAACATCAAGGGTAGTCTAACTCATGGATAAAGTAGAATGTGGTTGCCATGGTTGGAAATAGGAGAAAAGAGGAGTAATACTTCATGGGAACAAAGTTGCAGCTGAAGAGGATGAAGGAGTTTTGGAGATAGACAGTGATGATGGTTGTACAATTCCAATGTACTTAATAACACAGAAATGCCCACTGACAAATGGTTAAAATGGTAAATTCTTGATATCTCTTATTGGATATTATTTTCAAATCTTTTCACCCATTGTGTGGGTCGCTTTTTTACTCTGTTAAGTGTCCTTGGATATATAGAAATTTTAAATTTTGTTTAAGTTCAATTTACTTTTTTTTTTTGCCTGTGATTTTGGTGCCATATACAAGACACCACTGCTAAATCCAAAGTCATGGTGAGTTCCTCAATGTTTTCTGCCAAGAGTTTTACACTGTTAGACCTCACATTTAGGTGTTTGGTCCACCGTGAGTTGATTTTTGTACCGTAAGGTAAAGGTCCAACTTCACTGTATGAATTGGGATAAAAAACGTGGTGAATGCTGCTGCCCAGTGCCATGCAATGGAAAGGCAGATTCTTAAAAATACAAATCCCCACAATACGTGTAATTATGTAACTGCAAACATGTTTGAGTGAAAATTTTAAAAATTAAAAGAAAAAGCCAAAAACATGTGTCTTCAGGGCCAAGGATTTAGCTCAGTGGTTCTGCCGCCTGCCTCGAAAGTGCAAGGTCCCGAGTTCGATCCCCGGTACCAAAAAAAAAAAAAAAAGTGTCTTCATCCACTGGATCTGACACTGTGCCACATCCTACTTCCTACTCTTCCCTAAAGTCTAAATGACTATGAAAAGTACACATTTTGAGATGCTATCTAAAAAAAAAAAAAAAAAAACCAAAACAGGACATCAAAGTAACTGTCACAACATAACTAAAGACACTCATAAACGAGGACTTCTAGAACTGCTTCAAGGGTGGCAAGAATGATGGGACAAGTGTGTTCAAAGCAGGGGAATACAGTGAGAGAGGTGAAGGACAGCATGTCTTTTGTTGTAATTAATTTTTAAAATTTAAATGTTCACCATATTTTTTTTAAAATCACACCTCATATGTTGAGATGCAGTTTTCCCACTATTGTTTGAAAGACTGTTCTTTTTTCAGTGATTGTCCTATTTGTTCAAACTCCAAGAAGATTCCAGAGTTTCCCTTGATAATTCATGCCTAATGTTTAACAAGTTTCATGGTTTGGAGGGTCTTTATATTTAGTTTAACTCTCATTACTGAAACATGTTTATTTCTTGTATGTCCTCAGTAACAAGATAAAATGGTTCCTCATAATCTAGGAATACTTTATTAGTTATCTTCAAATAGCAAAAATAACTCAATCATTCTCTAGAATGACTTCCTTCAGGCAAAGTAATTTCAATTCATTTTACTTTTCCTCATTGGTTCTATTTTTTAATTCACTGAAGACTCTTTCCTAAGTCCATCTGAAATTTTTCTGTGTTTTTCTTAAGGCACAGAATCCATAAACCACAGATTCAGATGTTTCCTCGAAATTTTTCAGTCTATCCCCCTCTGCTTTTAGGAAGATTGTATCTAAATCAACTTAGGCAGACTGGAATGTTTCCTATATCAGAGAAGCTCTATGAAACAAAACACACTCTTCTTTGAGTGTAAAATAAACAATCATTAAAGTTGGACTTCAAGTTTCTCAAGATTCTCAGTCAAAAGAAAAGTGAGACTAGTACAGTAGTCACTGTCTCATTTATTTCTTTTCAGATAGAAAAGGATCACTCCACAACATCCATCTAATCACCATCAAAGCAGCCAGTTATAAAATTTGTCCAACAGCAAAGTCTCTAATAATAATTTCACAAGGAATCAAACAGAAACAGTGATGGCAAATCAATATGGAACTACAGATTAAACAAAACACTAGGAACAAAGGGCTGGGAATGTAGCCCAGTGGCATAGCACCTGCCTGGCAAGCCAGGGTCCCTGGGTTTGATTTCCGGCTCCAAAAATCCCCCACCAGGAACAGAACTTGTTTCTGGAGAAATGGTTGTTACATTATGACAAACCACAAGGGATGATGAATTTAAAATCTTTCCTTAGACATACTGCTCTCAAACTTCATGCTGGAAACTTTAGTAGGAAATACTCAGTCTGATCTTGAGTAACTAAATAAATACAAGCAGAAAAATGCTGTAGAGTTCCAGGGTTGAAAGCTGGCATACATCTCACATACATTCAGATGTGAGGGATCACAGAGTGAGAAATTACACCCTCAGCCAACCTCTTTACCACAGGGCTGTAACGTGCTCAGCCAACTGGGGCTTCCAGGAGCTTAGCTGGAAACACTAAGGATAGAGGGCCTTTCAAACAGTCCATGGCTTAGAGAAGGCACCAAGATCAGCAACATGGAGAGAATGTTATTTTAATTTTTACCCTAGAAACTGGGTAGATTCATTACATATCTTCTTTACTTTGTTTTTTTTTTTTAAGTTCTTAAGAACTTAAACAAGTACCAACAGTGAAGATCCAAACAAAGTAGAACTTTGCAGCAGCAGGGCTTCCTTGTATTTCTGTACAGATGTTGATTACATGTCCATAGAGGGGGTGGCCATTTGCCAGAATCGTGGTTATTCTGGAACACACATGCCTGCCTGAAATCCTACACCAACAGCAGATGGCTACCTTGTACAAGAGCAAGGCTTAGGGCACATTTTGTTGTTAAAGTGAAAGGAGGTCAATTACCATCCTCGTATCTCCCTTGGAGAATAAGCCCAACAGGCAAGACAGAAGGACCACAGACAACACTGTTACTCTCTGAAATATCTTTACATAAGCCTTACCTGAGAGAGAAATGCAGCACTGAGATACATCACACTAGATGATATAAATTCTATTTTTAGTTTTTGTTTGGGGTTCTAAAGATCATGCCTCATACATGCTACACAAGCATTCTACTGCTACTCTGCACCCAAGCCTGTACTTTTAATTATTGGCCATAAAAAAATAGAAGTTTAATAAAAGGAAAGTGAAATGTAATGGTTAATCATGTCCATAATATGTTTCTAAGATTATCTACACAAGTCAACTACTATGAAACCTGTAGAAGAAATCTAGATAAAAACAACTATCCCTAATAGAAAGCCTCAAGAAGTCTTGACTGAGTTTGATTCCCAGTACAAAAAAAAAACAAAAAAAAAGAAGTCATGATATATAAAGGCATAATAACAAATACACAGTAATAAGGCAAAATAATTTTTGTTTTTTAATTTTATTTTTTTGGTACCGGGAATCGAACTAGGACCTTACACTTGCAACAGAAGTTTTAAATATTCTAAGGACTGCTTGCTTCTTGTCAGTACTCCAAATAAGCCAAGATTATTCTGTAGTAAAAAGGCAGATGTAGAGAGTACTTTTAAGTAACAATGAAATTCCTATTTTAAAAAAACGTTAATCCTTTAACTTTCAATGAGAGAGGATCCGTGACTTGCACGGCCATATGTACTCTCTTTCTTACAATTTTTTTTTTTTTTTTTGGTACCGGGGATCAAACTCGGTTCCTTGCGCTTGCGCAGCAGGCGGCAAAACCACTGAGCTAAATCCCCGGCCCTGTATTCTTTCTTTATGCCTGCATTTCGCCATAAAAATTCCAAGTCAAAACATAAAAGTGCTGGGTTCTCTGGAAGTTGCCTGCTCTAAGCCCTGCTCCCCATCCAGCCCTTCATTGAGAAAACAATCTGAATTGTCAGTTCTTCACAAGATGTTCTAACTCCTCCACAAAATAACACGCTGAATGAGAGAAGGGACCAAGCACAGAACAGGTGTGAATGCAGTAAATGTGAACAACATTCAATCACCACAAGATTATTTCCTTCAACCATTAACTACTTTGGCTTGAAACTAATAAGACCAAAACTACCAGTAGATCCTGACAAACGTACCAATGTTTACAAAGAGGACAAACAATTACAGATTCATAGAAACTAATCATGATTTATTCTATATGATAAGAAATGGTTTTAAATTACCCTTAAATATAAGACAAAGAATTGTTTTTTCTAAAATTATTACTCCTCGATAATAACAAAATTATTCTCTTTCAAAAATAGGATGCTGTTTTTGCCGTCCGCTACGCAAGTGTAAAGACCCCAGTTCGATCCCCGGTACCAAAAAAAAAAAAAAAAAAGGATGCTGCTAGGGATGGTGGTACACACCTATAATCCTAGCAATTAAGAGGCTGAAGCAGGAGGATCACGGGTTCAAGATCAGCCTGGCCTACATAGTGAGTTCAAGGCCAGCATGAGTGGTGAGACATTGTCTCAAAAATCTAAAATAAATAAAATAAGACATTATTTTCAATGACTAGTTTAGTTAATCATAAGATTAGTACTAAACTCTGCTTCTAATTTGACCACATGGTTTTTCATGCTTGATAAGCTTTTCTAGGCCATGATTAGGTTTTCATCTAAGTATATTAATACCTTGCATTTTCAAAGTGGATTGGTCATACTGAAGAAAGAGAAATAGAATTTTCAATAACTTTATCTTTGTTAAGATGGCACTATGAAAGATTTACTAGTTTTTCTAGTTATTTTTTATCAAGGAATTTTAAATTTATCACTAACTATGGTTACTCATCACTATAACAAAACTGAAGAAAAATTATGTGGTATCATATACAAGGAAAAAATAGCATTAGTATTGTTGTGAATGGTGACAACTCTTTGAGAGCACCAAAACACAATTACTACAAACACAGATTCTACTCACCAGTTTGATTGCTACATATTCATTGGTGTAGAGATTTTTACCTAAGGGAAAAGCAGAATGTACATGTTTAGTAACATTCCTTCTGGGAAATGCAAAGTAAAAATTTAGCTTACAGGGTCATGAGAAAGGTTACATTCCCAAGGCTGTTCATATAGATGAAACATGATTTATAAGTGAAAAGCTAAGCACAGATGTGACATAAAGCAGGACTAGAACAAAAACAGCTTGAGAATCTAAAATTTAAGGGCACATGAAAAATATTTACGAAAACTAGCTCCCCCTCCAATACTGTTAGTACTTCCTAACTATCATGGCATGAGGCAAACCAGAAAGAAATGGCAGAATTTCAATGATACAGTTTTAAACTCTTGGCACAGTATAAACAAACCCTCATTTTTTTAACTCACTGAAAAATAGGAATTTTTTATTTTCTGCCCTGGTGTTTAGTGGTAATGTTGGATGGCATAAAGGATAATATAAAATAAAACCAATTACTGCCAAGGCCTGTGTTTTAGGGAACTCATCTACTGTCCAGTACAGAGATGGTTCTCAAAGCCGTTTCAACTGTTCAGCAGGACTCTCACTATCTTTAACCATATACATCATAAGTGTCCAATCTTTTGACTTGCCTGGGCTGCACTGAATGAAGAGGAATTATCTTGGGCCATACTTGGAATATATAATATAGTTAATGTAGGGAAATCACAAAATGCCCTTTTAAAAGACATTTTAACTTATTAAATTACAAAATATTAAAGGCCAAGTTTAATAACTAAATACATGTCTGATCAATAACAATAAGCACCGGTCTTCACAGGCCCACATACTTTAGGTAGGCTGAAATACTATTATGAGTCACCACTGGGGTTTTTAAGTTGCACAAATGCGTGTAACATCTGACACACAGGGTTTTCACATCAACTGACTATGCACAGCAGGCGGAGTTAGCACCGCACTGCGCTCACCCTAATGGAGTTTCACTGTCACCTATGCAGCCCACAGTAGAGCGCCGTGCAATCAAGTCATGAAAAATATCACTAAAAATCACATCATAATGTTAGAAGTTTACAATCTTGTGAGATGCATTGTTGGCTGTCCAGAGCTGCAGGAGGCCGCTGCAGGAGGCCTGCAGGTAGAGGGTGGGATATGCTTATGTACTTCACCTGGATAACAAATACCTCCAAATTCTTCCTGAAATAAAAATTTTTCCTCTCAACTTGCCTACTTCTATAAATGAATAGCTATTTTTCTAGGTTGAGCATGGTGGTACACACCTATACTGCCAGTTACTTGGGAAGCTGAGACAATAGGATTGCAAGTTTGAGGCCACCTTGGGCAACTTAAGCAAGGCCTTACCTTTAAAAAGGGGAGTCCTGGGGCCAGGGATTTTTAGCTCAGTGGTGCTGTACCTGCCTTGCAAGCACAAGGTCCTGAGTTCGATCCCCAAAACTGTGGAAAAAAAAACAACAACACAAAAAGGGGGAGTCCTGGGGGTGTGACCAGTGGTAAAGCCCTTGCTCAGCACATGTGAGGTCCTGAGTTCAATCCTCAGTACCAGGGGAAAAAATTATCCTAGACATCTAGACTTAAGAATTTGGACTGAAGATGTGGAAGACACACAGCTGTCATTTAGGACGCCCATATACTTTCAGTATTTTGCTTCTTGCCCCACCCAATCCTTAATGTTCACTGCTCCCAGGAGCTTAGTACATACCACAGAGTCTATAGACACTGCAGTGATTTCATATAGCTCCTTATATTTTTTTGCCGTGTCTTATCCAGCTAGACTATAAATATAATGAGGGTATGTTCTGCATATCTCAAACACTGAAAACCTCAGCTGATTAAATAATACATACAAATAAATGACATATTTCTATGTATGCACAGCTGAATATATATGTATGGGAAAGGATGAAGATATATATTGAGGTATTCAACTGATTGCTCCTCAGTATTTTCTGATTTTTATGACATACACTGTTTTTATAATAAAGAAAAACACCTCATTTTGAAGACAAAAAGCTGCTTTGTAATACAAGGTCTTATTTATCAAGTTCTAGACAAAAGGCCCTTTACAAGGTAAGTACATCACTGTCCTTTATAACACCGTACCACTACTTCCATGTGCCAAGAGTATACAGCGGAATGATTGTCTGCAAATAACATAAAGAGAACAAGGTGCCAATCACCTAACAAATCATCCTGGACAACACTTTTTTTTTTTTTTTTTGGTACCAGGGATCGAACTTGGGACCTTGCGCTTTCGAGGCAGGCGCCAGAGCCACTGAGCTAAATCCTCGGCCCCCTGGACAACATTTTTAAGAGCACAAGAAGAAAACAGGCCTTTTCCCCTACATATTAATTGTATTAGGTTTCAAAAAGTTACTTTGTATTTCAGATTAATGTTTCTATCAAAACCAAAATTCAAAAGACATTTCATGAAATTGTGAAAAGGACACTAATAACTAAGAAAGAGAGGAGGCAGAAGAAGATAGCCAACTCCCAGGCAGATTGAAACTTCAATTCAACCCAGGATTTCTTCTACGCCAGTTACGATGCTGCACATATTTTTCAGGAGACGCCTTCCTGGCTCTGTTATTGATATCTAAAGCCAACTTCAGCACACAGAGCCTTGTATGTAGTCTATATACAGCATCCCCACTCACAAGTTCATGGAGGAATGTCAGGGTATTTGTGTATTAAGCTAGAGAACATAAAGGACACATTATTCTTATTTTCATTTGTAGATTCAGGAAAAACATTTTTTATATTACAACAAACAAAATATATTAGAAAAATGATGCCTAGATCTCTTTTGAAGTAAAAAAAAAAAAAAAGCAGGAGTTCAGAGAAATTCTAGGCACTTATGGGATGTTTCTTTCATACAGTGTTTTTTTTTTTCTTCACATAGGATCTCCCTATGTAGCCCAGACTGGCCTTGAACTCTCGGCAATCTTCCTGCCTCAGCTTTCCCAGTGCATGCACCACCATGCCTGACTCTTCCATACAGACTTGAGGAGGTCTTACCATTCTGTGTATAACCTTGTTCTCATTTTCCCTGTGTTCAGCTGGGTGGCCACTTTTCAGAGTGCTGCTGACTTTCAACTACACTTTCTGTTTCTTAGCCCCTCTGTACCCTACATTTCTAGTGTCTCCAATTTCTGAGCCTATCTGGTATATTTTTCATATAAACTGGTTGACGGCTTTAAGTGCTACATCAGCTTAACTATCAGCTTTCTAGCTTCCAAAATTTTGCGAGCATTTCTCTGCTCTTTACATCTTCTTTTTTTTTTTTTGGTACCAGGGATTGAACTTGTGATCTTGCACTTGTGAGGCAGGCGCACCCCTGAGCTAAATCCCCAGCTCTTACATCTTCTATTTTTTCGTTCCTTGGGGTTTTATGTCTTTAAAAAAGTCCATGGGGGGGGGGTCCCTTTTCTAGATATAGTTTTAAAACTCTTAGAGACTGAGCCAGCTTTCAGTTCATAAATTTCTACATATAATTCATTATATATATTTTTTACCTCCTTTAGGCAGTGTATTTCCTGAAGACAAGAACGTCCAAAGATCTTTGTGTACCTAGCACCAACTATTTATACTGCATGTGTCTGTATGTATAGTAAATAACAGATGCTTGCTGAAGTTATCAAAATTGACTCAACAGGAAGTTCTTCTGAGAAAATTCTAAAGCAATAAAAAAAAGGCTTATTTAGAATCAAATTATGGAGAATAGTAACTTCACTTTACTGTGAAATCACCAAAGTCTTGAATTAAGAGAATGAGCAATGGTGAAGGCTGTATTTTAAAAAATACTAATTAATAGAACATGGAAAGAACATTTGTCTCACAGAGTAGTTATGAGACTTACACAAGGTAGAATATGTCAAAGGACTTTGTAAACTAAAAAGTGCTAGATAATCCTAATTTTTATTACTTCTATTATTGTTCCAGGTATGACATACTAATTCTGGAAGAGAAGGAAAAAATAGGGCCAGGGATTTAGTCAAGTGGTTCCACTGCCTACCTCACAAACACAAGGTCCCGAGTTCAATCCCTAATACAAAAAAAAAAAAGAGAGAGAGAAGGGAGAAATAAATAGGGTTTATATCCAAAGCAGTCTGAAGAAAGAAAAAAAAACAACCAACGTCTGGGTTACATGGAAATGTTGAGGGATAAGGTAAATAGAAGGGTCAAAAATGATGCCTGTCATTACAATCCCTGACTTGAAATTATACTACCGAGCTTCTGTAATAAAAACAGCATGGTAATGGCAAAAAACAGACCTGAAGATCAGTGGAACAGACTAGAAAATGCAGAAAGAACCTCAAACACACTCAGCCACCTAATCTTTGACAAAAGGGCCAAACAAGTTCACTGGAAGAAAGATAGCCTCTTTTAATAAATGGTGCTGGAAATACTGGCTTTCTACATGTTGAAGACTAAAACTAGACCCATGTCTCTCACCATGCACTAAACTAAAATCAAAGTGGATCAAAGATCTAAATATTAAAACACTAAATCTGCTGGAAGAGAGAATAGGTAGAATGCTTGAGGACACAGAAATAGACAAAGGCTTCATGAACAAAACCCTGACCACACAGGAAATACTACAAATAATCAACAACTGGGACCCCATCTCATTAAAAAGCTTTTGCACAAGAAAAGAAATCACCAAGAGTGAAAAGACAACTCATATATCACTGTATAACACTACCCATGTTTATAGTGGCACCATTTGTAACAGCTAAATCTTGTAAATAACCCAAATGCCCGAATGGATAAAAAGGATGTGATTTTTTTTTTTATAATGGAATACTATTCAGTCATAAGGATAAGGTTGAAACATTTCTAGGCAAATAGATCCATCTTAAGAACATACCTTTAAGTGAAATGAATCAAACACATGTAAATATTGCATTGTCTCTCTGGTATGAGAAACTGAGCGTGAAAATAAAGACCAAAAAGAATAATAATAAGTATAGTGAAATAGGAAATTATTCAAAATTATACAGAATGTGAGATACTTGGCAAATACTTA